ACAAGACAAAGTAATGTGCCATTATCTTTCTTCCCTGCATATAACCAATATGAAATGTTTTCTATATTTTATGAAATCTATATTTAAGGATCAGAGATTTATTTTATTTTGCTTTTATTTTTTTCAAACAGTATACAGAAAAGGAAACTCTGAGCCCAGTCTTGTCAGTATTTTACTGACAGCATGAAATTGTCTTGTTGTCCCAGAGGTTAATAAGAAAAAAAAAAATCTCTTATCAGACATCAAAGAAAATGCAAAATTATCACAACAGAAAGCAATACTCTTTCATTCTTTAATAATAAACAGTGCACGCTGCTACAGGAAACAAATGTCCCCAACTGAATAGATAAATCCATAAATAAGAGCTGACTTTTTGCTTTAGCCAAGAAACAAATTGAAAAATATTCTACGTATGGCTGAAGCCAAACTGTGTTAGCAATCGGGAGATTTACTGGAAAACACATTGCTTTTAGTGGTCCTTTAGCCCTATCCACTAACACATTGTGGAAACATAATAGAAAGCAAACCTCTGATTGAAGAGCTCTCCACAAGAGCAACACTAAATGCTGACAGACAGTATTTTCAGATTAACTTCATAACTAGAAAGAAATCAGAAATTATTAGGATACAATAAAAGGGTTCATGCTCTTTCATCAGGCCTTAGAGGGGATGTATTGCCTAAATCCAAAATGGTGTTGCTGAGAAACCACTCAGCTGCTACTTAGCTCTGGAATTTCATAAGGTTTGAAAGCCTCTACTTCCTGGTAGTGGGAAATGAAAGGTTTCTTCTGGATGTGTCTTAAAGGAAGTGTGTAAGCCCTGATAGTCCTCAGGAATCAAGGTTATGGTTCATATTTCCAGGGAAGGCTTCAATGCTGAGTACATCATGTGTCTTCATAAATTCATCTGGGTAAAGAGGCAATGTGCTGCATGCATCCTGTTCTCAGTGTTTTTTTAGAGACCAGACTATTTCATATTGCATTTGGAGGGCAGCAAAATGCCTTCGCAGGGCCTGTTCAAATTTGCCAAACTCCTGTTTGGGACTTTCAGTGCTTGTCTTTGGGCAGATGTCTAAATGCCCATCGCTGGGGAATCCCAAGCAGCTTAGGCAAAAGAAACAACTCAATTCAACTCAAAAAGAAACAACTGAATATCTATAATTTGAACCCTAAGTCTTTGATTTATCTTAAATCATCTGAATTCTCAATGCATATAGGTCTTCATGAGATCTGAATTGTTTTTCTATTATGAAAAGTCTAATAGATCTTCTTTTTGATTTAAAGATTTTATTTCATTTTAGATTCTTCACTTTGATGAGGCACTATTACTTTCATTTGATTTTAGTTAGCTGGCATTTTTTTTTATCAGTTCCATTTAACATCAAAGAAAATACTAAACAAGCTACCAGGAATCATTCTGAACTTTCAATAATAATTGCAAAAAAATATCTAGTAATCCCAGAAATAAGCTAGGACTTCACTTTACTAGTGCTAATACTTCTTTACCTTTAATGCAAATAAAGCATCTGAGCTTTTTAATCTAGAATTTTGATATTTAACATTGTTATCACCCAAGAAATAAACAATTGTTTAAGGAAATGGGTGAGAGTGGTTCTCAGTGCTACAGTGCTGAGTCAGTCATGCAGAACTAATTTCCTGGCTGTCTCTGAATGCACATAAAGCTGCTCTGTAGATGCTGCTGACAATGAACTAGTGACTGGAAAAAGGAATCTTAAACACAGTCACATCTCTTGACTGTTAAAATCCTTTACACAAAGCATGCTGATCGAATGTACTGTAGTGAGCAGTATCCTTTTCTCTCCCTGCTTGTTAGTAAAAGAAGTTTTAATACCTGAAGCTGTTGCTAAGTAACCAACTGCTTCCAAAATACATCTTTCTTGATAATAAAACTGGTTTGTTTTTCTGCTAATTAATATAGCTACATTGGAATTTCAACACTGGTATTGCGTAATGGGAAAAATACCCTAACAATAGAAGATTGTTATGCATAAGAGAGGATGCCTCATTCATGTGGGGAACATATTACAAGTCACTTAATCAGAAAATCTGTATTTGAATACAACTTCCTAGCAGTTTAGAAGCAAAATGCAAATAGAAGTAAGATGCCTGTGTGAAAAGAGGCTTCCCCATTTCTTTAACTACATGATATGGTGCAGAAAAAAAGAACTGATGCCTGTCCATAATACATGATATCTAGAGCAGGCTCACAAATAGTTTTGCTTTCATAAATAAAATGAATTTGTTTGAATGGCATTTCAATACAAAGATGCTCAGAACCAAAAAGTCCAGAAACTATAACCAAAATAAAAAATATAAATGCATTTCTGTACATAGATTAACTAGGACTGCAAGAAAACAGAAGATGCCCACAAGTAGCAATAGTGCTTCTAGCTTAATGTCGATTGCAGTGTTATTCTTGAAATAAACTTAATGGCTGCAAGAAGAAGAAGGTGGGAGGAAAATGCACTCAGATCCAAGTTTACAGTGTAACAGCCCACACAGGGATGTAAATGAAGATTTGGACACAGGATTTGCTCAGCGAAGCAGAAGGTTTTACTGCCCTCTAGTAAAATGCAGTTACGAAACTGTCTTAAAATGTATGCATGCTGAGTAAACCATTTCAGTTATTGTTACTGAAAATGTGATTAGTCTTGGATTGTCATCTCATTGTTTCCATAGTCAAAGAATGAAACATTTATGTTCAATCTAGAATGAATTATTTTTGAATTAAGGAAAATAGCAATAATGAAGCACAAAAGCAAGGTCTCTGTGGCTGCATCTGCATGAACAAATCTCATGCCAAATTTTCAGCAGTGTTATTAAGAAAAGACTAAGTGGTAGCACAGCGCAAAAATTCCTGAGTCCTAACTACAGGGGAACTTACCCTGTTGTTAGGATTGTATCAGCACTGAATGAGCAGCTCAAGAGTGAGCATGATTTGTGTCCTTTAATTTCTGCCAACAGCAACTCTGAGAATTAAATGGCAGCAGAACTCTTTACCTAGTGCTATAGAGAACTGGAGGGTAAGTTGCAGGGAAGCTGTAGATATTTAATGACCTGACACACAGGAAAAAAAGAAATGAAATCATAGTGTTGTTGCCGTACACATAGCTGTTCCATGCAGTGCTGTACTGACGGATTATTCCTAACAAGGATGGCACGAAAGGATATGTAAGGCTGTCACGGAAAACATCTGACACTGATGGTGATTGTTGTAACTGTGTATACTGTGACTTATTACACAGTGCAGGCTCTGCCTCTCAAACAGCAGCAGGAGAAGTACTTGGGAAAGGGCAAGTGCTAACTGCTGTCTCACAAAGTACCTAGTGCATTTTTCCAGGCATTTTTCTTTCTTTCTTTCTTTCTTTCTTTCTTTCTTTCTTTCTTTCTTTCTTTCTTTCTTTCTTTCTTTCTTTCTTTCTTTCTTTCTTTCTTTCTTTCTTTCTTTCTTTTTTTCTTTCTTTCTTTCTTTCTTTCTTCTTTCTTTCTTTTCTTTCTTTCTTTTCTTTTCTCTTTCTTTCTTTTCTTTCTTTCTTTCTTTCTTTCTTTCTTTCTTCTTTCTTTCTTCTTTTCTTTCTTTCTTTCTTTCTTTCTTTCTTTCTTCTTTTCTTTCTTTCTTCTTTCTTTCTTTCTTTCTTTCTTTCTTTCTTTTCTTTCTTTCTTTCTTTCTCTTTCTTTCTTTCTTTCTTTCTTTCTTTCTTTCTTTCTTTCTTTCTTTCTTTCTTTCTTTCTTTCTTTCTTTCTTTCTTTCTTTCTTTCTTTCATTCTTTCTTTCTTTCTTGCTCCATTTTCCTCCCCTCAAATGTAAAATATAAAACTGGCAGGTTTTTCAGGAGCCACATAGGCCTTCTGTGAAAATTATATTTTCAATTTTCAACATCAGTCACAAAAAGTACAAATATTCTGTCAATCCTACCACTGAGTTTTTACAAAGGAATATTCATTCTCCATATATTCTTGTTTATATAGCTTCATAAATATTCAAATACCTGGGGAAAATAGGCTAGAAATGGGAATGTTGTTTTAAAGTAAATATAAATTAAAATAAACAGTAAGGAACAGAAAGAGTTTATACTCATTCATAGGAAAGATCCGAGTAGTGAGTAATGTAATTTACTTCTGCTACCTCTTGCCTCCCTCTGCCAAGAACAGAGAATGCCAGGGGCATTATCTTGTGCACGGACCACTAAAGAGGAGGAACGTTCCACCCTGTGATGCTGCCTTTGCATACTCTCTCAAGGCCAATGCATAACTTGAATCTAGAAACTCAGTCCTATCTTGTACATTGGTGGTGGTCTGGGATCAGAGAACTTCAGCTGGTTTCCTGACCTTTTCTCTTGAGATCTGCTGAGAAATGGGTGTGAAATCAAGCTCTCAAGTGCTCCAATACTTTGTGCTATGCAGGAACAGATGCAGAAAAACACAGTTTTCAGCATTTTTTGTGAAGGCTGTTAGGTAATTTTCCAATCCAAATTCATGCATTCCTACTAAAAGAGGTCTGGAAGGGGCTGTGGGAGACAAACTAATGCAACCTTCATAAAAAAGGAGAATGATTTGTATCTCAGTCATTGTTGACAAATGCTGACACTAACTAGCCTGTCCTTGAAAATCTCAAATAGCAGCTACTCCAGATACTCCAAGGTCTTTTCTGTCTTCATTAGGTAAGATCCCTGATGAATCTTTACTTTTAACTGCTCTCCTGTTTGTGAGCTACTTGCCTCTTTATCTCATTGACTGAGTCCTGCTCCCTTAAAGGCTGTTTTACATTTAACTCTCCGAAAGATTTATGCTCTAAAAGAATACGGGGGAAAATATATTGTTTGAGCTCCCTGGAATACTAAGCTTAATTTTTAAACACTCTAGTTTAATTTAAGATATATTTTTACCATTTCACTTAAACTTTCCTAAATAAGAGAACATAGTCTATTGGTTTTCATTTTAAAATTACTAATGTAGTATGTATATGCATTATGCATGGGACAGGTATTATGTTATGATCATTTGTCCTTCCATTGTACATTAGTAGCATTATTTATTAACCTTTAGTTGGTTTGTTGTTCTAGTACTGTGAGCATATTTGGAGGTTTGAACTATGTGAGGAGTTGATCAGATTATTTCTGTTGAGCTTTGTACAATTAGTAGGCCATGTTAGTGCTGTTTCATGTGTATGAAAGAAACTTACTCTTGTATTAGGCACTTAGATAAAAATACCTTCCATGATTTGTGAGTGCATGTTAGACAACTCTATAATCTTATATTTCACCTAAATTCTGAAAGGACCAAATGTGCAATGGTGAAAAATAAACACTTCAGAGAGCCCTCTAGGTAGGTAACACACCAACAGCTGTCACTATAGTCTCCTTTCATATTTCTGTTAATAGCAGCAAAATATTTTCTTCATAGCTCCATTCCAAAATATAGCCTGTATGTCTATGTGTAGCATGCAGTAAAGAAAGAAGTTGTATGCTTTTAGCTGAAAGAAGGATAGGTATAGGCATCTTAAGTGAAAAAGTCTCAATTTGTTTTAATTTAAAGTCAGGATCCGAATAATGCGTTGATAAAATGTACTGATGAGGCTTGGATGTCTTTATTTATTTGTATTATTTTTGGAAGTCACCATCACTTCTGTATGTGCTTCCTAACCTAATCTGTATTTCTATCCCTTTTCCCCAAAACCCAAATTCTGTAAGTAGAATAAATAAATAATTTTTTAAAAATTGGAAGAGAGTTCTAAGAATGTCCAGAAATATTTTAAATTACATTGTGACCACAATGTGGCCCATGTATTTCTTGTCTCTGGATATCTCAGAGTTTCTAAGTTCTCAACAAATCAAATTGTGTGACAAGGTCGTAACTAGAATGAATGCAAAATAGGATTCTATGAACATGTTAAAATTTTCTTATCATGAATCATATGAAATTACAGCCTTTGTAATTTTTTTAGGAAAATAAAAGTGCAAGGAGCTTGCCTCTTGTTTGATGCATAAATCACAGTTTCCTCCTGCCCATTCAGCCTTTGATTCACAATCTTGTCCTCCTAAGGCATCTTCTGTGTGAACATTTGATGAGGAAGACCCTGGAGCGTAAATGGCGAAGTGCATACTCACATCTCTGCTATGCCTGATTTAGACCAGAACAGGGATTTTCAGCCTTTGCTCTGCAGACCCCTGTGGTTTTCAGAAAAAAAAAAAAAACCCAGCAAATGTAATGCCAACTTCCCATATGCTGCAGAAGTCTACAGACGTGACATTTCTGAAAGGATCCACATCTCCTCTGGGAAATTTATGCAGGTAAACAAACTGAAAATGACTGAAAAACTCTGGACTTGAAATTTGGGTTAGTCACTCTCAATGGTTACTTAGTTCTCATGCTGTTTGGAAGCTCATGTGTTTTGTTGGATGAAATTGTTTCGCTTCTTAGAAGGGATTATGTATCCACTGAATGGGTAAGGCAAAGAGTGTCTTTGAAGTCTCTGTGAAATAAAGGTATGGAACTATTTAGACAAAGTTGAACAGCTTGAGCAGATGCTTATCTAGACCTTAGAGACTCTTGTATTCTTTTTATTTCTTTTGCCTTTTTTTTTTTTTAATCTATGCTCTACAATAATAAAAGGATTCTTCTACAAGACAAGAGAATGATGAAAATTAAATCACTTCCAAGAAAATGGTGAATTAGGCCTTCTGTATATTTATGAATCCTGAAAAATGCTTGGATGAAATCAGCATCACCAATTCACTCCTGTTGTTCTCCCTCATACTGTGAGTCTTTCCGAATCAGTAGCAAAAATAGGAATGATTGAATCAGTGAAGCTGTGAACATTACAAGATGCACACTCCAACAAACATAAAATGCGTGAGTGCCTGGTGAGCATTAGGAAATCTGTCACTATGAACAATTGAAGATGACAAGTTTAAATAGACCGAGGAATTCCAGTGTTAACTTACTTTCAAACAAAATATTTTCAAAATTGTCCTGATCACTTTTTTTTTAAACTGAAGATTAGCTGTGTGAAAATAAGTTCATTTAAATTTTTAATGTAAATGAAAAAAAGAAAAGATCTTGGAAAACCATTAAAAATGGACACAAGAGCAATTGTGCACTGATCACCTTCCCTTTTTTTGCTAGAACTTTCAAGAACACCTTTCCATACTCTTAGTCTGGAGCCTCTCCAATATTACAGCCTCTCATGGGGTACTGATGGTACCTCAGCTAAAAAGTCCTCAGTTTTCTGTTGTTTTCTTGAAAAGAATGCCCTATATTTAAATTGTCTACTGTTTTCATAAATAACTTGTGAGAGTCCTATGTGAGACTGATTCTATACTGAAAGGGTTCAAGCCCGGCAGAAGCTTATCAGGCAGCTTCGGGAGCATCTACCATGATGGCTTTCACAGCAAAATGGCAAGCACAGGGAGTGACCATTAAAATCATTACAAACAGTTTGCCTCCGCAGTATTTTATTCTAGAGTTATTTTAGCTGGTTAAATTCTACAGATAAGAAGATGGGAAATGATAATTAGGGCTAAGGAGAATGGGACTGTCTTGAGATAGTTAATACCCCTCTCAGTAGGCAGATAGATTGTCTGAAAGAGGAACAAAAATTGCATTTTTTGAAAGCAACTCTAAATTTCAGGGGACCAGGGAAATTGTTTTCTGTTGTATTGTGTCTCATATACCTCATATAAGATATTTAAATATGAGTACCCCTTTAGCACATAACCTCTGCTCATTTAGCTATCTAAATAGTTTTGTTGATTTTAGTCTTTAACCTAAATGGTAAAAGCAGTATACAAAGGAAATTTTTATAGTGTCTGTGGTCATAATAAGGGTAAAATGTCAGAAAGTAGGTTTCTGTCTTTTGTACAGTTAGTATATTCTAGTATAAACACTTTGCAAGTGACCTGTGCACTTTCATATTTCAACTTTCTTACTTATACTGCATGTTAGATAGAAGTGCTAACTTTAAAATTAGTCATCCTAATGTGCAAAGCGCTGCAAAAAGATGGATGTTTTGAACATAACAGGCTTTACAGTAAACTCCAGCACAGATTAGATGAATTGTGGAATTATGTCTAATACTCTTAAGGGGTTTTAGTGATCAAACACACAGTAGATCCATGCTGACATTAGGTTCTAGCACGTCTAAAAAACACATAGTAGACATCCAGCATCCTACAGACCTGCAGTCCCACTGGTTTATGTTTAAACTTTTACAGTGCAAAAATATTGACTGAAAAAGCCCATTTTTTTATAGTAAACAGAAACTCCAGTGGTGTTTCAGAGTGGTCCTGTCCCTGTGTATTTCACAGACTATATGCTCTATGTATCTACTGCAATACTGTGTGGCCCTCTTAAACTGTAAGTAGACTCATATTTGCAAATTATACCTATGTGCTAAAAATATTTTTGCCTTACAATTAGACATTGACGTGAAGTCTGTTACGATAACATATGAAGGTCTATACATTTGCAATATACTATTTTCTGAAAGACTTAAATTAATTTAAGGACCACTGATTTGCTAGTGTTCACTTACCACTGAAGAAAGCTTTTCCCCATCCACAGTATGGATTTAATCTCAGTAATTTTATTCTCCTAGACTATTTCATAAGATAAGGAGAGATATATGGAGCACATGGCATCTCAGACAGATTAACTCCTGCCTGGAATCTCCTGTCTCTGTCCAGGACTAGACTAGTCAGCTGAAGTTAAGTGAGATTAATCCTGTCTGCAGTATGACAGCTACAGCACAGCTTTAGATCCCTCAAGATGGGAAATGTTCCTCATGCTTGCAGAGGAATCTGAGAACTTTCCTGTCAGAAGTCACAGTGAATAGTTCAGTATGGTTGACTACAGTGACTAATGAAAAAGCGGTAAGTTTGAGTTGTAAACAGATCAATTTTAAGCAACATCTAGATGTGAGTTTTCACTGCAAAGGATGATATTAAATGACCATTTTTACTAGTAGTCAGGCTGCATGAAAAAAAATAGCACTGCCTGGTATTGCCATCAATGAATATGTGCATTTTAGACATTTCTAAAGTTTTGTGTGTGGTTGTTTTTTTTTTTCTTTTTTTTTTTCATTCTACTGCCTTACTATATAAGGTGAAACAAACTGAAAAAACAAATTAGATCTGTGTGGCAAACTTTTGGTAGCTGGCAGCTGTGTGAGCAGCCTTTGTGAGGAGATATCAGGAGCTGCCCTTATGTCAGAGAGGGATCCAGCTGGCTCCAAGACAGACCCAGTACTGGAATCCTGGATGCTGAGAATTTTAAACTTTCTGTGCTTAAATGCACAGAACCACAAGAGAACACTGCATTTGACCTGAGGTCGTGGAACAGGCTTTTAAAATTTATTAATAGCACTGGGATTACGGGTGTGTAGTTGGTTAGAAGTCTGTAATATCACAGGATGTAAAACTTGGAGTTTGGGATTTTAGAATATAGAAATAAATATGAAGCAAGATGGAGGTTTTAGGGTGGAGGAAAATTGTTCTTCTTCACCTTCTTCCTTTTTCTTTACAGGTTAGGGTGATGTTTTAAGATTGGACAGAAAAGTACGCCTTGTGGAATTCGGGGGATCAGTTATAGGGTTAAAAGGGAAAATAATCTAGGTGTCCTTTCTTAATTGGATTGTTTAGTTTTAAAAGACCTTGTAACAAGAGTTAGTTACCCATTTTGTGCCTTGCTAATGAAAAAGCTGCCAAACTCACAGCAGTGAGATTGTAACATAGGTAAGAAATAATAAAAACCTGAGTCCAAACATGAAACGCCATCTCAAGTGCCTTCAATCTGGACCTCTAGAAACTGATAACCCACCACTAAGTAAATCTGAGCCCATCCGAAACAGTGGGAACACCTCTGTGGTAGCATATTTAAGAAAGAGAAAATCCCATCAGAAACTGGGATAGAGAAGTGAGAATATGTAAGACAAACAGCTCTGTAGGCCTCAAGGTCATTGCAGAAAGATGGGGTGGAGGTAGTCCAGGCATACAACCAGAGATTCTCCTACAATCTGCAGAGAGTTTATAGTGACATTCCTTGCATCCCATGGATATCCACAATGGAGCAAATAGGCACCTTCTGCCTTTAGACAACCCCACATCAGTGCAGGTGAAGCTGCACATAAGTGCAGCTTAAAAGCAGCTGTGAGTGATGAAGGGCCTATGCTTGACCTCCTGACATGAACTGCAGCCCGTGGGGAGGACACCATACAGGAGCAAGTTTGCTGTCAGACCTGTGACTGAGGACAGAACTCCACAGCAGGACCCCAGTGGATCAGTCAGCCTGTGGGAAGGACTAATGCTGGAGAAGTTCATGTATGACTGTCTCCAATGGGTAAGCCCTTATGATGGAGCAAGGGAAGAGTGTGAGGAGGAAGGAACCGCATAGAAGGAGTGTTATGAACTGGCTGTAACTGACCTTTTTCCCCATCCTACTGCACCACTTGAGGTGCAGGAGTTAAAAGAGTTGGGATTGAAGCTGAGCCTGGGAAGAATGGAAAGGTGGGGGGAATATTTTTTTTTTTAATTTGTTCTTATTTATTATTATTTTATTCTGCTTGGAAATAAATTCAATTTATTTTCCCAAGTCTAGTCTGTTTTCCCCAACTTTTTTACAATTGGTAAGTGATCTTCCTTATTTCCGTCCCGTGTTCTTCATTGTCCCTCTGTCCTGTTAAGGAGGAAAAGTGATAGAGTAGCTTGGTGGGTGCCTGGCAACTAACCAAGGTCAACCCACAACAAAATATTAAAGAATTTTTTTTTCTGAACCTGAGACTGTGGAAAATAGATGTCAGAAAGGAGACAGAAAAGTAACTTATGGTGGATGAGAACAAAGTCCCCAAAACACTGATGCTTCATCTATGCACTAGGTTATGCAATGCAATTAGATACATGATTAACCATGGTTCAGTTACCAATCTGAATCTGTCCTGATGAAAAAAGATTTAAACTTGCATGAAAATGCCCATGTGATGTAAGAGTTTAACTAAGATGAAAATATGAGAATCCAGTGGAACTTGATGGAACAGATGAATTTCAGACTAATGTAAAAACAGCCCCTAAACGGTAGAGGATATGAAAGTCTTTTTTTTTTTTTTTTTTTTTTTTTAATAAATATCATAATAGATTGTTTAGTCAAAAATAACTGTGTTTGTATCTATATTTTTTTGCATTTTTCAACTTCTCATATTTTATTACTTCTGTATTCACCTGCGGGACTCCTGAATCACTCGGTCTATGTGAGCCATGGTAGACATGACTGTAGCATTTGAATAAAGAAATTGAAACATCTGAATTAAACTTCCCCTTGCAGAAACACTTGTAAGTTACTGAAGTGATCTGTTTCCCCTGTGAACTGATGCATAAGGGATTTTAAACATGTGCCACTGAAGTGCATTTTAAAGGCTGTTTTTTTAAAAACCTTTTGTACAATGCTGAAATGTATTTAACTTTCTCTTAATACTGCTTGGTTGGGCACTTGCCAAAATAAATTTATTATGCAGCATGTATTATCTGGTTTACCAGTTTGGAATTTTGTCTATGTCTGCATCCTCAGTATTAATAAAACAGAATTTTCTAGGAAAAAAAGTTAAATTCTAAAGGCAATTTCATGGCTTTGATCTTTGTGCACCAATCCCAGTAACAGAGAGAATAACCACAATGAGAAATGAGGGTATGCTCCAACAACAACTTCATACTTTGAAACAAAATGAGAAAAAGGATTTTGAGGAAATGAAGTAAAATAGGTTGATCTCCAGAATATACAATGAATGCAATATCTTACATTACAGGTAATATATCACCTGAGCTTATTTTTGCCTGTGCCAGGAATTGCTCACTTGCAGACCTTACGGATCTGCATCACCCAGTAACAGGAAGCATATGATTTCCTTTGGAGACAGGCAGGGGAGCTCTTCACACTGACATAATGGAAGTAGACACTTTAGGAATACTTCAGAAAAACCAATGAGATGGATTCTAGAATTCCTCAGAATATGTTCAGATCTTTTTTGAGTAGCTTTTCTAATATGCATGTCAGAAAAGAGAAGGGCTATTTCTGATCTCCATAAAAGAAATATATGAGTTAAATCTGGCAGTTATTACTATTTCTAGACTGAATTTTGATCGTAGTGCCACATTGCTCTGGCTGTTTTGTAATTAGGTGCCATTAAAAGAGGATGTCTATCAAAATGTTAACAAGGATGGTGGTCAATCTCTGTCAGATTTATTGAAAGCAAATACATTTACAAGTTCCATCATAAATCTTGGTCAAGTAATGAGATTCTCAACTTATTTTCCATAAAGTGGTTATTGCATTATGCAGGCAAAATGTCATGGTACACAACAGTTCAATTTCATCAGCTCTTCACATGGCAATGAAATAATAAACCAGTACTGCTCAAATTTTGATTTATTTCGTTGTCATATATTAACCTAAAATACATGCATGTATGGAATATTTTGGCAGAATATATATTTAAAACCCCCAAGAATTCTCTTATTCCTGTTGGATTTCTAACAACAAAATGCCAAACTTTTAGTTAAGAATAAAATTAGTATTAATATTTTTAATATTTTTTTTGAAATTATGAAATCAAGATTTGAATTTATTACTATATTTGGCAGTAACACTGAAATTAATACACACAAACAAAATTATTGATGCTGAACCAAATTATGCAGAACAACTTCTTTAATCTCTTAACCTGTAGTGAGCAGCTCCAAACAAGGACCTGCTTCCTCTGAGTATCTGAAATAATTAAGCATTTAATGCAACTTGGAGCTCAAGGTAAATTTTCAAAGTTCTGGGCTATAGGTTAATATTTACCATATATCTCAATATTTTCCGAAGACTAGTTTTTACTTCAATGCCTGAGGAAGCCATATAATGGTAAAATAGTTTCCTTGTGAGCACACTTAATGAAGAAGTATGAACTTCTGGTTCATCTTTCTGCACTAATCAATGACTGAACAATCAGTTGATATTTAAGGTATTCCTATAACTAGTATGAGCTGTGGTTTTGGATTCCCTCAGTTGGAAAAAGAACCTGAAATTATTTGCTACTATTCAAGCTATGCATTTCTCATGGAATAAACAGAGAACATAATGTTAGAGCATTCAGCATTCAGTCCTCCAGAATGTTATAACTTCTTATTTCTTCCACCTAAAATTATGCAGGAAATTAAAGTTAAATTGACAAGTAGTTTGGGGAGAAAATAGTAGGTTGTTTAAATGAATATGCTGTAGAAGAAACTCTTCTCCAATACAAGACTATATCCAATTCTTCTCCAATACAAGATACTTATCTGTGTGGGTGTAGTTACATCTATATTGAATGTTAGGTTTAATAATAAATTTATGTTTAAGCCTATAACTGCTGATGTTGGGTATGAAAACCTACCTTAGTCTAGTCCCCAACAGGTGGCTGTACCCCAAATTCAGCAGTAAGCAGTATGTAGAATGTCCAAATGCAAAACAGTGGTGTCTATTGGCCCCTCCTGCTGTGTATAAAATTCATCCATATATTGAAAGTCATAGCTGCAGAAAATCCAGCAATGGTGATTCTGCAAGTTTTTGGTCCACCATTTCTAGCCTTCAAAAAACTTTTACTTCTGTCTCCTTTGCTTGTGATTAGAGCAAGTGGGGACAGAGAAAGAAGGCTCAGTCCTAAAAGGAATTTGAAAAAGATTGTGGGTCAGTCTAATGTGGGTCCAAAGTAATGGATGCAAAAATGTTGATTTTGTGTCTTGAGTCAGGTGGAGATGACCTTCAGATTAGACCCTAGGGATAGCTGTGTGCTATATTACTTAATGGATATTGTTCCTGAAAGGTGTTACTGACTGCTTTGTTCTGCTTAGATGAGCAAAACAGTCAGATCAGGATTGATTATGCACTGTGCATTCATTTGTGGCATAAATTCAGCTTAATGTTCCCATTGTATATGTCTTTTCTTCTCTTTTTGCATTCTGTAAAAGACTTCACAGAGACAATATTGTGAAATTGAGGAAAAATAGTAAATCGGTTGATTGATTTTGATATAGTTTCTGTCCAGGAAATTTTTAGACTCGTATTAAGCTTCTGAATAGAAGTTGTATTTTTCCTATGTAGTTCTATGTTTGAAATGCTGGAAGTGAGCCACAATTTTCTGGATTCACAGTGAACCACTTCAGATCAATATTACCCTGTCTGAATATATGTTATATCTTGGCTGACTCCACAACACAGTTTGGAAGTTATCCTACAACTAGATTCAAGCACAGATCCCCATTTATCGTGTAAGTAAATATGTCATTTGTGTTTAAATGATTTTTTTTGTCTTTTCCCTGCCCAGGAAAGAGGAATTTGATGACTTGCTGAAGGTTGCAGAAAGCTCCAGAAAAATGACTGCTGTACTTCACAATCAGTTTGGACACACAGGATTTACGTATTGTGATAAACATGATCTGGCTACCTAGAAACACTGCTGTTAGCAGTTTTAATGGCTAAAGGGCAGCAGCAGCTACAGGGCTCACAAAGTATATGATGGCATATTCTCAAGCATATGGTGTGTTTCCTGGGTGTTCCTCTTAAATTTTGCTGTGAAGGGGATTAAAGGAGAAGAAAACATATTTCCTTGGCTAAAATTCTGCTCACTCGTTGAGGAAAAGGTCCCAGATTTATATCCTTTCCCTACTGAAAGAGTATAGTAACCTTACAGTAAGAAACTTGTGCCCAGCATTGTTTCTGTGAATAGTAGATTGCAAATTTGTACTGGACAGCCAACATACAATAGTTGGTGGCAACTCTGAATAGTAAGTGTTACAAAATTGAAGAGTGATTGAAGGAAGCTAGTAGATATAGTTGTTCTTCCAGAATTCCATACCGGAGGAGAAAAGCAGGGACTGGAGTCAGAAGGATCAGGGAAGTAATCGGGAATGAGGTGTGAGGGAATAAAAGAATGTCCAAGAAAGAATCACATATGATGCCATGGCGCACTGTTGCCCTCTCTCTGTAGCCCCCCACTGCTGGGGTTTTAGCTGCTCGAGTAGGGAGTCCATCTTCGATTCACTCCAGCTGTGTAACCTTGACTCAGACTGCTGAGCCAGAGGTATGAGACTGTCTGTACCGGGCTAGGGAAAGTAAAACATTATAGAGAGCAGCAGTAGGACTGCTGGTGTGCGATAGCTAGGAGAACAAGGACTCAGCAGAGAAAGCATCAACATGTAATGCTAACACCTTAAGGAAAAGAAATGAAGGTAGCTGGAGGTTGGTCTTGTCAGGGACAGTCAGGAACTGCCAGGTTGGGGTTCATCCATCAGTGCTGACCGTGTAAAAGGGAGGAGCAGCTCTGCTCCCGTGGTGGCTCTCGGGAGCCGTGGCCACCAACCCCTCACTCCTCAGCAGCACCTGCCTGGTGAAGGCTTCCCAGCTGCTGTACTGGAGTGTGAGCACACCTGTGCTTAACCTCACAGTTCACTAAATACCAGCTGTCTTTTATGTGTCCTGGCCAATAAATAATTGCTTTATACCTGTGAGTTATCCATATTTTGCTTGCAGAGTATTTTTGTGCCAGGCTAATGATGCCCAAACAAACTGACTATAAAAATATTTTGTAGAGGCTAAGAGGTGATTTTATTATTATGCTGGGAAGCCAACATGAATATTTGAGAAAGTAGTAGCTTAATAGGAGAGGAACATCATCTTGGAAGAAGTGATTTACATTTTTAGAATTAAAAAAAAAATAAAGTCATCTAGCAGAAGGTACACTGTTCGTGGGATGGATGAAGAATCCTTTGCTGCAGCCATACATCTAGAAAAGCTCTGATGCTCAGAGCTATCTGACATTAAATCATGTCAAGCAGAAGCAAACAGCAATGGAAAAAAATCATTGCTGTTTTTAATTAGGTTGTCTTGAATGCTCATCTGCATTCTAAAAGCAAAGGGCTTATTTCAGTAAAAATCATGGCCAGCTCCTGTAGCAAGGAAACTGGCTGTACTCAAGCTGAATTGGGCCCTAAATTTGTTGCTTGGCAAGAGCAGGGAAATGTTTTGCTCTGGTGTCTGACTCCATTGGCAGAGGTGCTTGTTAATCACAAAACCCATTACAATGCACTGTACAAGGAGGAATCTCAAAAACATCTTATTGCTGAGCTAAAGGCTATAAAGTGCAGTGCTTTCTGCTAACCAGATTTGTGCTCTGTTGTGTTTAGTGGTAGTTGTGCCAGTCTGTGATTACTCACAAGCGGTGACTAGAGACTGTGGCTGAGAACCCTGCGTGTGAGTGCGAGGAGGGGAGGACCTCTGAGCTCATGCTTTGAAGCAATATTTAGGCTAGCTTAACACTGAGCAATAAAATGATGACAATAACATGGAAAAGGAAGGCTAAAAATGTTTAATTACTTTACCCTGATCACTCTTCTCCTTTCCAAGTTGGCAAGCAGGAACTGGAACTTGCCAAACATGTTTTATTTTTAAATCTTTTATCTATTGGCAAATCTGCATATTGCATCAGACCTCATAAAGGTGTTT